CCGCAGCGGAACCCGGAGGTCACGAAACAAACGGAGCCAATCAGAACCCCGTTGTAACGCAACACTTGCAACATTTGATAACCAGATCGATGCTGGTCGCAAGTAAGTTACAATCAGAGCAAACAGAAGCACGACTCGATTGCAGTTCGATATGGCTTCCGGTATTACAATTGTTTCTCGGCGCACACGGCGACAGATCGGATCACCGAAACTTTGACCGACAATGAACGCTGTCAGTAATGCTTCAGGTGGTAAGCTTCGACTAATTGGTGAATTCGATTGTGAGATGGAGATAGCAGGCCACCATGATTGTGGTATTGTCTATCTTGCTGCTTGTGAGCTTAATCTCCCGGGCATAGACTGGATCGATCGCTTGCATCTTTCAACACTGCCGATCGAAAACTTATGTTCATGAACACCGACAGGAGGGAAGCCCTCCGTCCGGCCTGGAAACTGTGTCCTCGCGAGGGAATATCGCCCCGAGCACCGAAGAAGGACTGTTGGAGTCGTCCTCGAAAGAGTCAGGTGATGAACACCGACAGGAGGGAAGCCAACACTCCGGCCTGGAAACTGTGTCCTCGCGAGGGAATATCGCCCCGAGCACCGAAGAAGGACTGTTGGAGTCGTCCTCGAAAGAATCGGTCAGGTGATTTATAGCGTCCAGGTGGGATCATTGATTATGGAAACTGCATGTCAATCAACTACGGCCGACTAAGTGCTCGATCCAAAGGGCGGGAAAACGTTTACTAGACCTAAGCCTGCTGCTTGAAACCCTTGATCTCCCAAGACCAGCAGCTATAGTCACTGTTTCACATGTCCCGCCCAAAACATGTTTTCGATCGGCAGTGTTGAAAGATGCAAGCGATCGATCCAGTCTATGCCCGGGAGATTAAGCTCACAAGCAGCAAGATAGACAATACCACAATCATGGTGGCCTGCTATCTCCATCTCACAATCGAATTCACCAATTAGTCGAAGCTTACCACCTGAAGCATTACTGACAGCGTTCATTGTCGGTCAAAGTTTCGGTGATCCGATCTGTCGCCGTGTGCGCCGAGAAACAATCGTAATACCGGAAGCCATATCGAACTGCAATCGAGTCGTGCTTCTGTTTGCTCTGATTGTAACTTACTTGCGACCAGCATCGATCTGGTTATCAAATGTTGCAAGTGTTGCGTTACAACGGGGTTCTGATTGGCTCCGTTTGTTTCGTGACCTCCGGGTTCCGCTGCGGTACTGGCTTTCCTTGTGCACGGGAGGTTGCCTCGATGTCGTCTTGGCAATGTTGAAAGCAGGGTTGGATAAGAGCCTCTCCAACATGGCCGTGTCGTGCTTAAGATTCGAAAGGCACTGGCACTCATGGGTAATGGGCTGCAGCGTTATCTTGGGAGTTTGTTCAATCTTGTTCAATAGTCTCGCTCTGATATCACTGTCTGAATGCGACTAAAGACCACATATGAAAATAAGACACTTGAACTGGTCTTCGGTCATTCAAGGTTGACTCTACTGACATAAGTGATATAGTCTTCGACGAATTCATTTTTCGCAAGTTTCATACATTGGTAGCGGATATTTAACAAAGACGAACGCTCACCGAAAATTATTGAGTTGCTGAATGGTTCTATCCAAGCCGAGATCTCGCGTAATCTTTGACAGGATGAAGTTGGAATACCGTGTGTGTTCCTTTGTGCCAAGCTTTCTTTCTAAACAATAAGCGCACTCTTGATGCCTCATCTTTGTGCTTCAGTTCGACCGTGAGTATATCTTCGTAACGTCTGAACCATGAATCGAAGGTTAGACCAGCATCAGGGTCATAAGGGAACTGCATGATGCTGTTGGCGATCGAGTCGACTGAGTTTGTATGTGGAGCATTATTTGGTGGTTGAATTTCAAGTTGCTGCGTCAATGTTTCCAACAACGGTAATTGCGTCGCTTCAGATTGATTTTGTCGTTGCAGCAAAATTTCTTTGAACGCTTCAGCAGTTATTGTCATGCTTCTGTGGGTTCGGGCATCGCCAGTCTGTTCTGTTTGACTGCTGACCCCGCTTCAGTTGCGGAAAAAGACCCACCGAAGTTAATACAGCAACTTTATTCCAAACAAGCGAATGCAAAAATACAATGGCCTCAAGCTGTTTTGTTGGGGAACACTGTCCTTGCTCCAATGCTGACTCACGAGGCCGTGCCGGGTTGCAGATGGATTGTCAGTCTGATGAGCGTCTAGTGGAGTTGAGGGTCTAAGTAGATTACGGGCATTCACTGGTTACTTCCAGGAATATGACCTTCTTGATACTGGTGCTGGACACAATCTTCAAAGGATGTACCCGTTGCACAACCGGTTGCTCCGTAACTTCAAATGCCTCCTCCTGGGTTGTATGTGACGTCTTCAGTGACTGCACGTCCACGAGCCTGAGGGCCCCAGTATATTTCGGGCATTCAGTGGTTACTCCCAGGAATCTGATCTTCCTGATATTTTTCATGCGCAAATCAGAGAGATGGCCAACCCTTGACCTCGCAGACGAGTATGACGGATTATGAAACGTTTGGGTACTGTCGATGCTAATTGCCTTGCAGGATGGGGACCGCGTGATCACCACTCCGCTTGGTTGGAGACGCTGCAAGATACGACTTTGAGTTGACGTCAACGGCGTTTTTGTTGTCGGTTTATATCCAGATTGCCTGCGTGAGTGTCTGGAGGTGTTGGGAGTTCGGACTAATTGTAGTAAGGTAGCACTAAGTACCTCCCTTGTGCACCTCCACTCTTTTATTCACCATACGGTGAATAAGTTGCACGACAGCGAAGCATCAGTGTTGAACATTGACGTCATGCTGTCGATAATGATTATGCGGAAGCTCCTGAAAACGACTGTGTTCGGCCGTTCAAATGTTATCTGACAAGAACACAGACGTGAGGGAGCCAGCACCTAAACTCTCAGAGATCGTGCCACGATGTTGGTCGGATGATAGAGCAAATTGAAAACCCACTTTCGGGTTGGTCGGAAGCCAGAAGCTTACTTCCCAGATATCAGGGTAACAGTGGGTGACAGCAAAGAAGATAGGCCCAACGGAAATGTCTAAATGACGCCGTAGAATGAACAGTAAAAAGAATGGACAGTCTGACGTTGCCGGCCTCTGCTAATCAGTCATTCAGGTAAGCGATCAGATTGTGGATAAGGTTGGATATAAACAGCCCAACGGACAAATTACAAACACCCAATCAAGCCCGGCTAAAGTTTNATATATATATATCACAATTATTTCGGGTATGCGTTTGTGCTTAGTACTCAAGTCTGTTTCCATATATGCTTCCTCCATCTCGAACTTGCACCACAGAAGGAGTGTTGTACGAAAGGATAGGTTCTATCCAGACTAACGGGTTGCCGGAAATGTATGCTCTCGAAACTGTTTTTGTTAGACTGTGGGCAGCGGGCTTTTGTTCACACGAAAGGTCATACTAACGCAATCATGTTTTACTGAACCGACCACCAGTGTTTAACATGTGATACTGGTGATGTATCCCTCGCTTCGTGCAACAGCACTCAGTATCGTAACGTATTACTTATACATTTGCCGAATTCTTCGACAGCTCACATTCAGTTTCGTCCTTCTTGGGGCGTAGGCGCAGTCCCCGAGTTTCCCTCACCCTTATGTTCTAGTTGAACCCACCTGGAACAGAATTGGGCAGATACTCTCGTTTTTACACACGAGTTTGGTTTTGAAAGAGAGACTCAATTGAACCCAGCCGAATCGACTGTTCATGCATTCTATTGAACCCAGCCGAATCGACTGTTCATGCTGGGCCCCGTTCAGTGAACATCGTACCAACTGAAACATGTGACGGACCACCATAAACAAGAGATTCAGCTGGACTCATTCGAGTCTCTTGTCAAAACCAAATTTGTGTACAAACGAGATTGTTTGTCGGATATTGACTATCGTTTTATTCGGAGGTCTTTCGGATGCAGGGCTCATTTTGTTTGCTCGTCGACAAATGGCGCGATGTCGGTCTTTCCCCATTCAGTCAGGCTTTCTGTGACTCTTACTCTGCTCATCCTTTTTATAGGCTACTTACTGGATGCCCGATTACCGATGAGGCATCGGCGTTAGAGTGTATTCGACAACTTCACTCGAAGTATCATGTTCCAACTGTGATACTCACCAGCTCCAGCATCCGCTACTCTTCAAACGAGCATCCCGATGCGAAAGACCGTATGCTAGGATATGCCAGTCGATGCATCAACTCGGGACCACATACAGGAGACTTGAACTCAGTGAGGCCGACCGATTCAGAATCAATATTAAACGGTAAGTTTCCACACAACCTTGTGTCGCTTTAGTGAGATTCTTCATTTGTAACCTGAAGTCTCTACAGCACGTTCCTTGCCTTCCAATCGTTCTACTGCGTTTCCGTAGACGAAGAATTTGGAGTCCAACTCTGTTGTTAGCGATGATCACCCGGTTGTGACACTTTCTCGGTGTGTAGTTACCGTACAACTCAAAGGAAGCGCGAGGGCTGAGTTACCCGAGCTGCGGTTAATTTCGTGTCACAGACCTTCCGGTCCCTAGTTTCGCGTCTTGATCACTGCGAGATCTCGATCCGTCAAATTGTGGTAGCTGCAGATCTGCTTTCTTCAAGAAAACTCTCTTCCAATAGCAAACTGCTTGGAAGTCATAGTTACAGCATATTTTGAAGAGCAAAAAAAACAGTCGCTGTCTCCAATGTGACGTTTCGTCTGGCCGAGCGTCTCGGTGACAAGGTTAATCGGGCTTCAAGACAGATGAGGATTCAGTCATGGGAATCTCTCCCTACCAGTGTAACGGCGGATACTACTGATGAGGCATGCGAGTAGTGTCTTCTCGTAAATCCGCTTCGCGTCTCTTGAAAAGTCAGATCTATCACGGAATTTGTGGAGTCGCTTTGCAGCATTTGCTTGCATTTGGGTAACAGTCAATGAATATCCATGAAAGTTCTGGAAGACGTCCTCAAGAAGAAGATGGAGATTCAGTTTTTGCAAACAAGATGCATATGAGAGTCATGCTTCCCTGTCCAATAATCTGTAACTGTTCAGTTGGTGTTTCCCTAATAAATAACTCAGCAGCGAAGGCCTTCTTTCTTTCACCAGTATGCCAAACGGTATTAGCTGCTCGTTAGGAGTTTTCGCCAATTAGCGTGAGTGAGCTGGTCAGGCTGATTTGGGACGCCTCGGCTTCCATGTCGTCTGCGAAATCCGGCTCTGAAACTGGCTGCCGAGCATTGTTTATGGGCGCCTGCGATTCGAGCTGTTATTGGACTTAGCTCATTCTCTCATAGAAGGCAGTCCCGGTCAAGTTAGTGAACGGATTCGTACGAATGGGAGGATAAAACGTACCGTGTGTTCCAGAGAACGACAGCAAAATCTCCCTGTACCGACTTTAGGTTTCACTTTGAACCTAGGT